CTACTTCAACTTACAAGTTTATCTTAGGAATGATGAAGTTAATGGCCACGTGGATTATACTCGAGAGCTTCTTGTAATCTTCGAAGTTTATCTTCGGAGTCTTCGTTTATTCCGACTGTACAGTGACGATCGATACACGTCGCCAATAATGATCTTGTAAATAGTCTTAACTGTACTTCTGAATGTTACCTTATCATTTGAATGAATCGTAACGATTGGAAGAACCATCGTTTGCATATCTCCGTACTTCCAAGCCACCTACAGTGAAGTAACTTCAATCTTTCAACAATCTGTCCAGAAACTTAAATCTGTTAACAGTAAACAGATACTACGACGATCATCCACCTTTCTATCCCCTAATTCTTCTTTCCTAACACTCGAACGAACATACAAATACCAACTTCAACTTCTTACTCGCTCCCATTTAACTCGCTCTTCCGTCTCTACTCCCTCCATCCATACATTCTAAACGCCACAAGAATATTCCCAAACCAGCCCCATAAAGTTAATCGTCCCGCCAACCATACAACTCTCTCAGGTAGCAGCGATACTCAAAAATTCCGGGCCTCATCAAGAACACATTAAGTTAGCCGTGCAACGTTGTCGAACGAGACCGTACGCACGCGTCGCGGATACGGGAGCGGCAGGCGTAATCTCCGCAGCTACCATTTTTCTTTCGGCGTGTGTCCGCGAATCCTCGAGCGGCAAGTTTTTCCCGGTCGAAGGAGCGTAACACTGGTCGAGAAATCGATGGTCGGGGCCGCGCTCTGCCTTCCTCGCTCTCTCTCTCCCGCGATTCACTGCCCCTTTCACCCTGTCTCTCTCTTTCAGCCACCCTCTTTACCTCTTTCTCTCTCCGCCCTCGTCGCAGTCTCTCGTTTCCTCTCAGTCACGCGGAGCCACGTTGATTCTCTCCCGCTGACCGAGGAGAGTCTTCCTTCTTATTCGTCGTCTCTACCCGGTTCGGCAATTTACGAGCACCTCCGAAGTGCTCGCGCGGCTGAAAACCGGGTACCGCCGCCGCCCACCCCGTCCGCCGACCAGCCAGCCCGACGGACCCTCTTCTGCTCCCTCCCCCCCACTACTCCCCTTTCGGTGTACGTATATTCCCGTGTATACCGGGGAATTCGACGCTCGTACTCGGGGACTTTGGTATTCCCCGCATGGAGCCGAGTATCCGGGGAACATTGGGATTGTGAGCGGCGAATTTTTAGCGACCGGCCATCGCCGCCGGATCGCCCTCGTCTCGCTGCGGCCGGAACGGTATTCCGAAAGTATCGCGGCACTTGTTACCCCGCCGTCCATAGGTGCGCGTCGATGTTGCGAATCATCGTGAATGTTTGGATTTGGTTATAATTGGTATTCGGGTTCTAGCAGAGTCTATTGTCCCCTTGGATAGCGGAGAGCGTGTTCGACTCGGGTAAATTGGTTTGCCGATTTTCGAATATGGAAAATTTAGGGTTCATGGTAGTCGGGTGTTGAGGAACATTTGTATGTTGCTTTGTTTATCTGGCCTTTGGATTCGTTGCGGTTTTTGTTCCGTTGGGTTCGGAGAGATTCGTGATGAAGGTTTGAATTGATATTGTTAGCTTGTTTTGTTTCGTTGATAGGATGATGGTGTTAGGGTGGCGGACTTTTCAAAGGGATGTTCGGTAAAATGGACGATACAGGTACAATCGGATGTTTGCGATTGAACGTTTGCAAGTAGGATTGGTCCGTAATAGATTGTCGAGTTAGCCACTCGTATTAAATCGGAGGAATCCGGAGCATTCTTTGAATTAATATTCTTTTAAGTGCAGTCTGGTGTGACAGAATTCCATTCCGGATTTTTTATTGACTTTTTTGAATCACCGCTTATTGAGTCGTACCGTTCATTCCAGGCGCTTCGCATTGTTTCACCGGACAACAGTTTTATCGTTGTTGAATAGCGAATTGTGTCGTCGTTTATTACCTCGGAACTAGTATATTCACAATAAGAGCCGAATTCTCGGTTTAATTCTGCATTTGATTTCATAGTTCGTATTAGACTCAACGCTCCGAGTACTATATCAACAGTTACCCGATTCGTTGCAACGCATTAATCCTTTGCCTCGATATTCCTTTCATAAAACTTTCATTAAGATTACTTCATTCTTACCAGTTCGCAATAAAACAAACTTCGTCGCAACCGCACATTCGCTTTAAAGATTGATCTTCCGTCTGATAATATCTCTAATGTAGAACAGTTGAATTGCCCAAGTGATTAATATTTCTTTCTACAATCCGTGTCAATGCACTTGTCAAATTTTCAATAGTCTCACAGCTTAGAATCCACGACCGTAAATCGATCTGCTTAATAATCTTTCAGTAAAACACCTGTATCCTTTCTTATATTAATAAAACAAGAAATCCCAAACGGGTATTACCATCTATATACCAATATGCTAGTATCAAATCATGAATATCGAGGAGAGATTTCCACCGTGAGCAACTCACTTGTTATTATATACGAGACGGAAGGGTTGAGCGGTGCGCACGACGTAACCGTGGTTATCCGACACAGTGTTACACGGTGTATGATAATAACGGTGCTCCGGTGGCTGTGTGAAACGGTGTCTAGCCTAGCACCAGCCTAACCTGAGTCAACGTTACAACCATGTATATTTATACAACAGCTGGGCAGGCCGCGGTAGGGGTGTGCCGGCAGTCAGCTGATCGAAGCGCTGGAGGGGAATAACGCGGGAGGGGAGAACGGCCTTTATTTAAAGCGCTCGAGGAAGCCTTTCTTCGGCTGGCAAACAGTCATCGAATGAACATGCGAGACACCGACGCGCTTACGTATGCGCGTGACTGAAATATTAACGTGGATTTTTCTCCCCGCCTCTCTTTCCTCCTTTCTTCTTTACGCGTCCGTCCATCCTTCGCTCCCACCGCCGTCACACCGAGGACGTAGCTGCCGCGCGAGGGGAGAGCGGGTCTCGAGACAACTGCGTCGACGTATTAACATAATTAACTGGAATCCAGACGTTGCGCAGACAATGCTTCCCCTTCTCCTGCTGCGATGTTTTTCCCTAAACCCGTCGCAGCTCTTTTCTGGGAACCGATATTTATCGGGGAAACGGTTCCACCGTTTCCTTTTTTGCGCGTATACCGCCGCGGTAACGAGATTTTCCTCCGTTTACGTAATTACTATGACGAACCGGATGTTTGCGCGGACTTTAGAGGGCGATTTCACGAGGAAAGTATGATAGAGTTTGGTCTCGCGTGTTAGGGGTTTTATTGCGTTTTTAGTGGTACGCGCTTGTACCGTTACACTTGATTGAAGTATTTGTTTTAATGTCTTGCGGATTCGGGGAAACCGTAAATGGATTTGTATGTTTATAATCTATTAATATATTGATCTAGCAATTAATAATGTTTTTGTGTTGTACTTGTTTGTTTTGTTTTTGTGTTATACTTGTTCGTGTTGTTTTGGTTTGGGAGAAACTATAATGCACATGCAGTTTACTGATTAATATATTTCTTGTTATTTCTCAAATATTTTTATAATGTCGTATAAGAAGTTCAATCGAAGTAATTTCTCGGATTTCGAGTGATTTCCAGAATTTCACGTCCTCTCGAACGGTTAAAATGTCGCGTAGAAAGTTCAAGGTCCGATGAGAGCCGTGGAAGGCTCGAATCATGGCTTATTATGAGCGAAGCAATGGAAAGAAGTTCACGGTTCGTTGGGTTCCGTGATGCGAGCGGATTATGCTTAAATTTAGGAGGAAAGTTTTCGGTGGCTCTGTAAATTTATGTAACGTGCCCGCTCGCTGTAAGCGGGGGATTCATTTTTGTAGTTTTCTTGTAATTGTTCGATCGTAAGGCAGGTCATTCGTATAGGTCGTTACCGTCCAGGAAATATGTCGCCGCGTTTCTGGGCAAATAACTCACCCTCCCCGATCTACCGATCTTCAATCGTCGCAACCCCAGGAAAAAAGCTTCTCGCTGGTCAGTTCCGCCATTTCGTTTTTCCAGTTCCTCCCTGTCACGACCTCCAATCAGTTTCCACGACAAAAATCGCTGGCACCCCTTTTCTTTGGCCTGTCTTCGTTTCTCTGCGAACCCCTTTCCGTGCCACATAAACTTCATGCTTGTCTTTTATATACTTAATTATCAATACCATACAATCGAGCAATATTACGATTATAATGATTGTACTCAGAGTAAATTAGAAAATAGCTGATCGCTAATTCTGCCAATCATTACGCTAATCGCATCTTATTGCTATCGACAAATCATTTTGACTCCTATAAGAATATCTAACAACCTAGCTCTAAAGATTCTGAATTCCCACAATTTCATTCATCAATCAAAAAAAGATAGATTTAATAACTATTTCCTACTCCTTTCTCCAAAGCTTCCAGATGAAACGAGCAAAAATTTCGTTCATGATAAGAATCGATAAATTAATCTTCCTTAGTCCCTAGAAAACCATATTCACCGAAACAATTATCAATTCAAATTTCCTTCGTACTCCCAATTACCTACCAACCTCATAAAGATTTAACAAATTCTAATAACGAACCCAATGTTCATCGATAAATTCAAATTCCATTACAAACATCGACAAGAAGCGAACTCGAAATCATCGAAATAAACTTTCCACACAATACGCATGCGAATACATAATCCCGAAGAGTCACGCCGCGTTACAGGGGGTTAATATCCGCAATCGTAACTCAGCGCCGGTCTCCGGAACCTCGAGGAAAAAATTCACAGCAGTCAGCTGCACCGTTTCCTTTTTCCCATGGAGTTCCTCCTCCCTGATCACGAGCTACCATCAGTTTTCCCGGCAAAAATGTTGAACCGCCACCGTCCACGGTTCCATCCCCGTCTTTCGTCCCCTTCCTCCCTCTCTTTCTTTTTCTATCCGTGTTCCTCGCTCTCTGCCTCCGTTTCGGCTGCCATTTAAAACGAAACCGTTTCGCCGCGGTGTACGAAGTTAACGGCTCTAACGAAACGCTGATGCACGTTTTCAGGGGACTGGCATGGAGAAGGAGAACTCCGCATCGGGCGGAGGCGGCGGAGGTGGCGGAGGTGAAGCGGCGGCCACGGCGACTCCGGGCGCCACCTCCGCCTCCGAGAAACTCCAGGCGGACCAGGCCAATCCGTTGCTCGATCCGACGGCCCTCTTCGGCGGTAAGCAAATTTTTTCATTTCTCTCCATCTATTTATTTGCTCCACTTTTTTCGTCTGTTTTTAATTTTCCTTTGGCAAGTAAGGGAACGAGAGGATACGGAATATTCGTTTCGAGAAGATCTTAAACG